CCCACCACCTCCTCCATATGTTTACAACTCACCCCCACCACCTCCTCCATATGTTTACAAGTCTCCCCCACCACCTCCCTATGTCTATAGCTCCCCACCACCTCCTCCATATGTTTACAAGTCGCCACCACCTCCTCCTTACGTTTATAGTTCTCCACCGCCTCCTCCATATGTTTACAACTCACCCCCACCACCTCCTCCATATGTTTACAAGTCTCCCCCACCACCTCCTTATGTCTATAACTCCCCACCACCTCCTCCATATGTTTACAAGTCGCCACCACCTCCTCCTTACGTTTATAGTTCTCCACCGCCTCCTCCATATGTTTACAAGTCGCCACCACCTCCTCCTTACGTTTATAGTTCTCCTCCACCTCCACCATATGTTTACAAGTCTCCACCACCACCTCCTTACGTCTATAGCTCTCCACCGCCTCCTCCATATGTTTACAAGTCTCCCCCTCCTTCTCCATACGTCTACAACTCTCCACCGCCTCCTCCATATGTTTATAAGTCTCCCCCTCCTCCTCCATACGTCTACAGCTCTCCACCGCCTCCTCCATATGTTTACAAGTCTCCCCCTCCTCCTCCATACGTCTACAGCTCTCCACCACCTCCTCCATATGTTTACAAGTCTCCTCCACCACCTCCATACGTCTACAGTTCTCCACCACCACCTCCATATGTCTACAAATCTCCACCACCGCCTCCTCCATATGTTTACAAGTCTCCCCCTCCTCCTCCATACGTCTACAGCTCTCCACCACCTCCTCCATATGTTTACAAGTCTCCTCCACCACCTCCATACGTCTACAGTTCTCCACCACCACCTCCATATGTCTACAAATCTCCACCACCGCCTCCTTATGTATACAGCTCACCACCACCCCCTCCTTATGTTTACAAATCTCCTCCACCACCTCCCTACGTCTATAGCTCGCCACCACCACCTCCATATGTCTACAGCTCGCCACCGCCTCCTCCATATGTATACAAGTCTCCACCACCACCTTCTTATGTCTACAGCTCGCCACCACCTCCTCCATATGTTTACAAGTCTCCTCCACCACCTCCTTACGTCGATAGCTACTCTCCACCACCGGCTCCATATGTTTACAAGTCTCCTCCATATGTCTATAGCTACTCTCCACCACCGGCTCCATATGTTTACAAGCCTCCTCCGTATGTCTATAACTACTCTCCACCGCCGGCTCCATATGTTTACAAGCCTCCTCCATATGTATATAGCTACTCTCCACCGCCGGCTCCATATGTTTACAAGCCCCCTCCGTATGTCTATAGCTACTCTCCACCGCCAGCTCCATATGTTTACAAGTCTCCTCCATATGTCTATAGTTCTCCATCTCCACCGCCTTACTATAGCTCTCCCTCTCCACCAATATACTAACCACATATATACATGATGAATCGAGTCTCAAAAGGAAGATTGTATTTAATAAGTGTATCCACACGGTTTAAAAAGCTTTCCCTTTCGAGACTTTCAATATAAGAAATGTAATTCCATGTGTACTTAAATATCTATGTGCATTTTCACTTTGGCTTGTTGCTTTTGATGTTGTTTCTCCTTCTAAAAGACCAATGTTTTGTCTTCCATTTATATAAGTTATTGAATAAATTCAATATTTTTTAAGACTCGGGTAAATATATTCAAAAAGACGTTGTAGTAAAGATCATATGAAAGGTTTCAAGAGTCAGTATAGCTCCACCGTTTATATCTAAAAACTTTGAAAGTTATTTGAACACCGACTGTGTAGACATAAAACTGATTTAACTTGTTATGGCCAAATTTTATATGGAAATTGAAACTTGAAAACTTAGTATATATCAGTTTCTATACGAATAGTTAGTATGTGACTATGCCCTGTTTTTGGTTTCCCGACAAACTCTGGTCTTTCTCTTCTATTTGTTCCTAAATAAGTTTGTCCCAGCTTTACAAAACTTTCTCTAAACACTTGTAATTACTTCACTTTTTTGTTGATATATCAATTTAACATTTCAACAAAAAATAGTTAGTATGTAAATAATTCGTTATCGGTGTGTACATATATTGTAAAGGTCAATACGAGGATTGATTGATACATATCAACAAGAAAAGAAAGCGAATGGCACAAAAGATTTCCCAATTATATATTTTAATAGACTTAGTCTGGGGGCACCAGGTCCGTTAACATTAATTTGATCCGGCACCGATAGTTCTCAAATTGGTATTCTAAGTTAATCATCCAAAGAAAATTAAAATATTTTCAAGTCACGAATTCTAATAACGACGCCAAAAAGATGACTGAAATATATTATAGTCTTATAGATTTTTGGGAAAATTGGATATAAAGGATAAATAATTAAACTATTGTCCATCTATGCATTCTATGACTAAATATCACATATTCCTAATTTACCCTTTGTAGTTGGTTTAACTAGTATTTCAAAAAAAATTTAGAACAATTTGTAGGCAAATGAAAAAGAAGTCATGAGGATACTTATAATGTCGAAAATATGTCATTTTTGTTGCCGTTTTGGATAAATAAAATATGATCTACGAAGTTTAGAATACACATTCTGAATTTAGAATGTGTATTCTACACATTGCACATGTTCTATAAAATTTAGATAATGTATTCTATGCACTCAACATGTTCTACGGAATTTAGAACGCATTTCTGTTCTACGGTATTTAGATAGCTAATTTCTACGAAATTTAGAATACATGTTCTATACTTTGCTCTTTCTTCTAAAAAAATTAGAATATCTTTTCTAACATTTACCCATGTTCTAAAATTGTTAGAAAACACATTCTTATATTTTCCTATATATTCTACAAAAAATAGAAAACAAATTCTATATAATTTAGAATTTCTTTTTAAAATAGGAAAATAAATCTTTAAATAAAGAAATTGAATATTGTTAAGATTACATCTGATAAAATTGAATATTAAGGTTAAGATTACGTCTACAAATTTTAGAACATGCATTCTAATTAGTTTAGAATGCTTTATACATAAGTGAATAGATTACCCTAGTCTATTTTTTCACTTTGACGTCTCTTCTTTTGTTCCTTATTTCTTCTTCTCCTCGTTTCGTTCTTCTTATCTGGATATACTAGCTCCAAAGAATTGAAGAAATCCAAAAAATTACCAAAAGAGAAAATCAAAGAAGAAGTTGCCGTCAAAGAATTGAAGAAGAAGTTAACGTAAAAAAAAAAAAATCAAACAAGAAGAAGATTTGGAATTATCTAGGCAAAAAAATTTGGTAAGTAAATAAATATTGTTTTTGCCCTGTATTTTCTCCAAATAGTTTTTAGAAAGAAATCTAATTAATTTTGGAATTTTTTTATAGTTTAGCAAGATTTTAGAAAACTATGGATAAAATGGGATTTTAATTATATTAAAGCATATATGACCAATATTAAAGCATATATGATCAATTATGAATATAGAATGCATAGATGGACAATAATTAAATTATTTATCCTTTATATCCAAATTTCCCATTTTTCATAGCTTAGTTTTCCTATCCGATAAGACTACATTTCCATAATTTTTGTTTAACTCGAAATATAAAAAGGGAAAAACCCTAAAACCCGAGGTAAGGAAAAAAATAACAAAGCATAGAAATACCAATGAACTAGACATCCAAAACCACTGCTTAGGTGGGCTTTGTCTTCAGGACCGGGCACACTCACCAGTTTTAAGATTTACGACCTAAAACACACAAAATCTAGGAAGAAATGATAAAAGTAAAAGGTGTGGGTTGAATATTCAATCTTAAAATATTGATATAGGTGTTTGGCAATTGAAAGTCCCAAGGCCAACTAATTATGTCCTCGGCCCTCGTGCTCACCGGACCGTCCAGCAACTCCCTCCTTTACTTTTGCATAATAGTTTAACAATTTAAGTGCTCTCAAACAAAAAAAAAACAAATAAAGCATGATATTGGTTTTACAGGTAAATCGTGATAAAACATACGATTTTCCTTAACACACGTTACGTTAGAGCCTTCTCTTTAGTAGCTGAATGTTGTACCCTTCTCTGTATTTCTATGTTTGTAAAGTCTTGTGTTTTATATCTTTACTCTGTTTTCTCTGTTGTAAAGTTAGGTATGTGTTGTATCTCTTGTCCTTGTACTTGCCTCTCCAAAATGGATTCCCATTGATGGATGATGCGTTTGTCTAATATAATAGAAATCACTTTCTGGAAAAAAAAAAACACACACATTACGTTGATCTCATCTAAAATGATTCTTTTGCTTTCATAGGAGCTCAACCATCACGCGAGCTGTGCTATCTTTGGATGGGCATGCATGTAAAATACTCTTCTAGAATTCCAAAAATTGGACCCTTCACCTTATGACACTAGCCAAAAGAGCTTACCAAAAAAAAATGACACTAGCCAAAAGAATTGAGATTAATGTCGTCATTTTTTTTGTGAGACGTTAATTACATCGGATTTGTTAGGCTTCTTTTGTAGTATGAATTAAACCATTAGTATGCATTTGACCATTTCTCAAAACACCCTAAAATTTAAAAGCTCGGATCATGGCTGTGTTTAATGTTTATGTTTAATGATCATATCATAAGCTCTGTTTTTAATGCAAGCGTGGGTATACAAATTCAGAAACTTTCGTTTATTCTTTCTTTTTTTCTTTCTTCTTAAACTCGTTTTTAACTCTCCATCTCTAAAAAGACATCAACACTCTTTCTCTTTATTGCAGCAGAAACAGAACCCAGTTCAATAAAGCTTTTTGGTAAGAAAAAAAAAAAGATATTTGAAAAATTGTATAGAAAAGTGGCACAGAATCTGAAATTCTGACACTTTTACCACGAATAATGATTCTCTTTTGAAAACATGACTCAAATGTTTTCTTTACCTCTTTCTCTGAATCGAGTTCGTACTTAAAGTATCCACCTTTATCTTCCGTTGACTGATTCTACTCCTTTTTTCTCAACTTTCTCTGATTTGCTCGTGCGTTCACTTCAATTCCTCAGTTCTTGTGTAGAAAGATAGTTTCATGTGATCAAAATTGGGGCTTTACTAATTTTAAGACATGGACGAGTTTGCCGCAAAGAAGAAGGATTTGGTCAATACGCCTGTGGATTTGTATCCTCCGGAGAATCCAATGTCGGGTCCTTCTCAGATGATGGATTCATTCAGAGAAACTCTTTGGAATGATGGTGGTTTCAATGTCCACACAGATGCAGACACTTCCTTTAGAGGTAATAATAATATTGATCATAGACCTCTTGAAATGGGTTGGAACATGGCTCAGTTCCCTGCAGATTCAGGATTCATAGAGCGTGCTGCAAAGTTTTCTTTTTTTGGATGTGGGAGTTTTAGTGAAATGATGATGAACCAACAATCTTCTCTTGGAGTTCCAGAATCAACTGGCTTGTTTCTTCAAGATACACAGATTTCAAGTGGATCCAAACTAGATAATGGTTCTCTTAAGGATGCATCTAAGTTAGTTAAAGACAGATCGATTAATGCATCAGAGGATTCTCAATCTAGTGGAGGTAATGGTCATGATGATGCTAAATGTGGGGATACATCTTCCAAGGGGTTTAATTGTAAGAAGAGGAAAAGAATTGGGAAGGTAGAGATTTTTTTGCAGTACTCTTTTTTGTATTTTGTGTTTTTTCGGTCTTTCGCTGATAATGTTTCTGTTTGTAGGATTCTGAAACTAATCAATCACATAGAGTTGAGCAATGTGGTGAAGAACAAGAAAATAAAAAGCAGAAGGAAGAGCAAAGTCCAAATTCAAATGCTAACAAGACAAACAGTGAGAAACAAGCTTCTGATTCTTTAAAGGATGGGTATATTCACATGAGGGCACGGAGAGGCCAGGCTACAAATAGTCACAGTCTTGCAGAAAGAGTAGGGATTATATTTTTTTGAAGTTGAGTAGAAAGCAAATTTCTTCTGTTCTTGTTTAGGTGTGGTATTGATTTGGTTAAACTTCTTATTATAGGTGAGGAGAGAAAAAATCAGTGAAAGGATGAAGTTCCTGCAAGATCTTGTACCGGGTTGCGACAAGGTAAGTTCTTTTCTTTTTAGCTGTTGATGTCTAAATGTAGAAGAATGGAAGCTAAAGCTGTTTCTTTTCATATAAATGGGACATTGCGTTTGTTGTGTAGGTGACTGGGAAGGCGGTTATGCTTGACGAAATCATTAACTATGTGCAGTCACTTCAATGCCAGATCGAGGTTTATCTTTGTTTGCTTTTGGAATTTCCTATTTTCATAGCGTCTGTACTTGACACATCAGTTGATTAGCAACCTCACTGTGTTAGTTACTCCTTCCATGTATTTCAGTTTTTATCGATGAAACTTTCGGCTGTGAATCCTGTGCTCGATTTTAACCTTGAAAGCCTCCTTGCAAAAGATGTAAGATGTTCTTGAAACCTGTCAGAGAATCAACTTTTCTTTCTTATCATTTGATGAGCAGCTTTATTCATATGATGTTGATGTCTTCTATATATTCATGCAGGCTCTTCAATCATCTGCACCGACATTTCCCCAAAACATGTCGATGCTTTATCCTCCTCTATCATATCTCTCTCAAACAGGATTCATGCAACCGAACCTTTCCTCAATGACGCTATTGAATGGAGGATTAAAACGGCAGGTACATATATTTGGCTGCACGTTTTACTCCAACAATAAACATATCTTTGGAGAATCATTTCTTTCTCTTGCATTCATCTGATCTTGTCAGTGAGTTTTGAACAGGAAATACATGGATACGAAAGTGATCACCACAATGTTGTCCACATGAACAATGAAACTGGCACTGCACCTGATCATGAAGACGCAACAGGTGAAAGTAAAAGCCCTATACTTTCCTACTGTTGTAACCAGATACTTAAAAACCGCTAAAGCTTTTCGTGTTTATCTCATCTTACAGCCGACATGAAGGTGGAGCCGTAGATGGTTTCTTCTTCACTTTGTACTCAGCTTTAGCTGCGGTTGAGAATTTTATTAACTTTGAACAGAAGAGTGAAAAACGAAACAGAGGAGGAAGCAAATCTTGTCGTTGTAATATTAACAGCTCCGGGAGAAAGAGTCTGAGAGTAAGAATCAACAATGTTGTGTACTGAATAGCTACTGTCTGCTTCTTTTGTGTACATATAAATCCATGTAGGGAAGAGAAATGTTGATGTAACATATGTGAGCAACATGACCATCACAAACTTCAAAAGGATCAAGATTTGCTATGTACTTAAGCTTTTTAGCTCTACTTGGCAACCAAATCTTCCAACACCATTCAAGATTCTAATGTCAGAAACCAATTTGATGAACGATTGAAACAGGGATGCTAAATGTACCTGTGGGAAGATAAACGAAGCTCTCTACTTTTCTTTTTTCACATCTACAAGTTATTTATATAACAAAAGAGTTTAAGAAGTTAAAACAAAATGACAACAGAAACAACTGACTAATTTCTCTTCATCTCTCGAGTCTCCTCCACACTAAAAGCTGAAAGTAACCAACGAATATTTACACTAAATCCATCCCACTCATATCTTCGCCTTTACGTGTTTCCACCATTCCAGTCTAAGCAAAGCCCTTAGAAACACGACTTTACACAGTCCTTTTATTCTTCTTCTTCTTCTTCTTCTTCTTCTTCTTCAGTCTTCTCAAAACTGACAAGAAGTCCCCAGCCTCTGCCTCTGCTTCTGTCCTAAAGTTATGGACTTGCGCTTTTCAATTGCCGGATAAAGCAGCTCTTGATATTTCTCCAGGAAAATCGTCCACTCCTCTTCACTCATATCGGACAGCTTCACAAAGCTTGTGCTTGATGGGATCTGTTCGTCTGCACTCCTGTGCGCAGATGATGCATATGCGCTCTCCACTCTTGCTCCTGGGTGTTTCTGATACTTCTGGCTCTTCTCACCAAGAAGAGTGCTTTTGAGAGACATTGAAAGCTTGGTAATTGTCGGCATTTTCTCTAGATCAGCTCTGTCATTCTCTTCCTCCTCTTTGTCTTCTTCTTCTTCTTCTGTCTCCTCTATTGTTTCTTCCACCTTTGACAACTGACTACGAGCATTTCCAAAAGTGAGTCCGAGTGGGAATGCTAGTTTTTTTGTACAATCAGTTGCTTCCTCACAATCTATATCGAACTGGAATTCAACATCACTTCCCAAGTCTGATCTTGGGGACTCAGCGTCCTTCTCTCCTATCAAACTCATAGCCTCAAGACAAACCACTTCAATCTCACTCGGCTCCTCGTCTCCAGGACGAACCTCTCTAGTCATCATCTCACCAATTTCAGCCAAACATAGGCCATTAGCAGCAGCTTCCTTGAGAAAAATTGTGCAGAGAACTAGAACACGGAGACTGGCCTCTCGTACCATTGGAAGTTCCCTCCGCAGCATCTCAGAATCTCCAAAAGGATCCAGATTCGCTATGTACTTCAGCTCATCTTCAGAGAATGGGATCGATGCCTGTGGCCAATGAATCCACTCAAAGTAAGGGTCCTCTAGAGTTTCAGGCAAGCAAAGACCATGGTCGATCGGAACTAGCTCCACCTGGCCAAACATTCCATCACCATCCAGTTTCCTAACCAAAAGGTTCCCTGAGTGCCTGTCTGTATTTAAGATTCTGATGTCAAGAATCCCTATACGGTGTACAGCTGAAACAGGGAAATTGGATGTTCCGTGCTCGCTAGCATCATAATCATGAGGTATGAACTGCTGCAAGGAAGCAATCTTGCTCACCAACATCTTCTCCATAGGCTTGCTTGCCTTCACTCCATCATTGACATTAAAGATAGAGTGAGTGATCTTCACAAGAGCAGTGGGAGGAACATTTGCAAAATGCTCCTTGTCGAGAAGATAAGCCGCAACTTCTCTGTAGCCTGTTTCCCCAACCCGCACAGAACGCTTCAACCCAGGTTGTCCAAGAGCCTTACCAACAAAACCTTTCGGGTTATTAGGAGCAAAAGGCTCCTCATCAGTTGGTTTAACAATTGCAACACTCTCACCGCGGCTGTTCTTAAAGTAATAGGCCCCTCCAAGCCCACTATGAACAGCAACTGGATCAATGCCCTTCTTCACTGCTTTTGTAATATCCTTCGCCATTTGCCTCACAAAAGAGAAAGAAACAGAGTTCCCAAGAATTTCTATAGGACTGCTCTCATCTCTACGCTGCTGAAGGTCAGCCCTCATTGGGGAAAGACATGGAGTCGATGAACTCCTATGAAAGTTGTTCCGAGTTAGAAGAAGAGGAGCATCACTTCTAACAGCTGTAAGATCATTTTTAAGCACCAAATCCCCAAAGGTCAACGAGCTTTCCTCAATGGGGAAATTAAGAGCAACCTGCAACTTCCTTTTCACAGTGTGCGCGTTATCACTACGATCCAACTCCAACCCCAGTACACAACCAGTCTCCGTTTGAACAAAAACCCTCCTACGACCCACAGGTGACTTCATTCCTACCTTGTTAAATTCACGAAATTCCCCATTCAGGGGGCTCTTCACTAATGCCACTGCCATTTGTGTCTGAACAGGACTGTCAAGCTTACGTGACATGAGTGTGGAGATCAAGTCAGACAAAAAAATCACAGCCTTAGCGACAAACAGTCGAAGATGGCTGCACAAGATAGTTTCTTCCCACCTTTAGGACAGGTAAGACCAGATGTTGAAATGATACAACTCTTTAAGCAGAGTACAAAAGACCACCAATCCTCGAACTCAATAATGAATTAGACTCCACGACGAGCTTCCATAGTTAAAACCTAAACATAACAATCTGCAAAGAGAAGAATCGAATCAAACGTGAGTAAGAACACAAAACCAAAACTTTAAGTCACAACATAGATCCCTAAAAATAACAATTCGTCTAAAACTAGCAAATGGAAGCAACAAAAGCATTTGGAGATATCTAACTTCTGAGATTCATGTTCTTAATCCAGCTTGCTCTAGTTTAAATCAACAACATTGAACTAATACGAAAAACGTAAGCTCGCTATGAGATTTGACTAATTAATTGCAATCTCAGATCAGGAAACAAACAACCGAAGAACGTATTGAGAAACATCGTCGAAACACCATTTTTTCTCAAGAGAACAACAAAATCTACAGAAACATGGAAGACTCACCAGACTCGGACGACGTATGACAATGACGCGCCGGCGAGAGAGAAAACAATCGATATCAGATCAATGAGCTAGATTTAACGACCAACGGAGACGAGAAGCTCGAAAAGCGAAACCAGTAGAGAAGAAAACAAAAAAAAATCAACTCGTTACGAGTCGACTCAGATAGGTCTCGCTTTGAAGAAGAAGCTGTTTTTTTTTTTCTCTTCCTATCTCTTTCTCTCTCACCACTTACTCAGACATTTAACCACCCCTCTCACCGCTTAACCCAAGAAAGTGGTTAAAAACTAACCATGGTTAAATGTCTCCAAGAGAAAATCAGGCTAAGTAAAAAAGATTTGTGCTCTTTCTCTCTTGCTTCGTAATTTTTGGAAGGGTCTAGAACGGAATATCGTAGCCGTTGATTCTCTGGAAATACTGTTGGCGAAATGAGAGACGTTGGATGGCACCGGCTTTTAGGGGGACTAGAATGATGACGTGGACATTTAAAGGGGATTAGAGCTTTGACGTGGCTCGGTCAAACAAACATCTTAATCAAGTTATAGGATTAATGGTAAACATCATTATTACGAATTACCATAACTACCCTTATTTGTTAGGTACCAAAATTATGTTACCAAATTTGGAGTTATCATACAAGTGTGTGTCATTGATGATGCCGACATCCCAAGTTGACTGACGTATTCTCCAAGTGATTTTGACATATCTCAAATTTATGTGTAATCGAAATGGTTTAAGCAAGATCATAATCATCATATGGTCGCTTTAATTTTAGAAACGTCGTTACTTCATCATTAGAGTAGAGACAAATGTATTAGAGAAACATTTTACCTAGTAATCATTGAAAGGATGCTTTGCATTTTATCTATGCAATTCAAAATGTTTTTTTTTGGATTTATTTCATACAATTTTACTTCGTCATTGACATTTGTATTCATTGTAAACTAATAAAACATTACATGGGTCTACTGAAAAATGTTACGAACATGTGCTTAGACTTGGCCCGACCTGTTATCATGTGAACCTGTTTTCCAATGGAGTTAACAAGATCTCTTACGTGTTAAATTGATATATATATATATATATATATATATATGAATATAGATTTGCATGCATCCTTAAAACCTGATTGCTTTAACAACAAGAAAAAAGAACAAAATTCTTAAAACCTGATTGGCACAAAATGATGGAAAAGTATTGTAAAATGTGTAAAAATTAGTCACTCGAGTTCTTAATTACTACTAGTACATCTTTATTATATCAACATATGAATATACTCCTTTTATATCTTTTAAGTGATGTTTAAGATTTTTCTACACACAAATTAAGAAAACACATAATTATCATTTACTTTACCTCTTTTACATAAAAAAACATAATTAAATAAAATAAATTCAGCAAATAAGAAAATATACTATAAAATATGATTGCACAAAAAAAATTAAATATATTTTTAACTTTTACATAGAAAATTGAAAACATCACTTAAAATTAAACAAAACTTTTTGGCTAAAACATCACTTAAAGTAATACAGAATGAGTATATGGTAAAACGAGTTTCATCCTCATCGATTTAGTATATAAAAAGACTTTATATGTTTTATCAACATTAAATTCGGAATCAAGATAGAAAGAAACAAATAAATGACGAGAAAAAAAAACTTCTAGAAATGTACGTATAAATTCCACATTTCCGGTAAATTAATAGTATTTGAAGCTTCTGTAAACACATAATTTTGATAGTTATATAATAATCTTTGTAGTATTTAAGATTCCCTATAAAAAGTATTATTTATAAAGAATCTTTCACTCATTAATCAAATATCCGCTTAGTACTAGGATTAGATGTCGGATCTATCACTCGTTCAAATCTTTTTACACCAAATTCAAAAAAAAAAATCAAGATTTTAACTTCACAAGTATCATCAACCCTTCTATGATTAAACATATAATATGTATGAGAATATAGATGATTCATTGACGAAATGATCCCATATTAAGTATACCTCAACCACAAATATCATCAAAAAATATTTTAAATCACCAATATTTTTGTAAACCATCATGTTTATGCACGATGTAGTAGAGGTGCCGAGTGGTCAACGGCCGTGATAGATATATTCCGATATAAGCAAATCCATCAAATGTTTGTTTATTCGTCTGCAGGCGTATCATCAATATTTATTTTGAAATTTTGAGTTTGATATATACTTTGAATCTGCCTTAAAAATTTGTGCTTGACAGAAGCCAAATGGTTTTTCATTCTTATTTTTTTTATTTTGTCAGTAGAATTTGTTTACTGTTTTCTTATGTACATCATATTCGAATATTATTATGGTAAAATGTAGTCATAATTAAAATTTATTTAAGCTTTTTAAAGATTGTTTGTCATATGAACAAGGCCGGCTCAATCTCATTCAAATATAGTATATGTCATGTTCAGTGTAAACATAATATTGACTATTTGTGTGTGTATATATATATTTAATAGGCCTTAAAGTATAGACGTATTTTGTTACGGATTCTATGATAATACACATGTGAACACCTTCTCTGAGATAGGCCTGCATATAATATTAAATTTTGTCAAAAACTATTACATTAGTAAGAATATTATAGGTAAGGGATGTGAGTCAATGTTACTCGGCTCTGAAATTTGGGATATAGACGAATGAAGTTTAAAGCCAGGAGGCTGCAAAAATATAGAAAACTAGTGCTCCAAAACTACATTTCCCTTTAAATAATAATAAAATGACGATTATGAAATTTAAAACTGTTATAAACATGAATTAATAATTCACTTTTATTTACAAGCATACAAAATGAGATTCTAGAATCGTGCAGATCTGTAGTAGTATTTTTTTTTTTTTTTAGAAAAGGTCGTGCAGGCGACTAAATCCAGAGGACTGGTGAACGTGAAAGTGATTCAGTGGTTGGTTGGGAGCTATACGACGATCTTATCCCCTCACGTGTCATTATGTCTCTCGTGCTCATCAAAGTCTCATGCTACACACTCTCTTATTACTATAGTACCCATATTTTTTTGTTTAATCACCAAACTATTTTAATGTACCAAGTAAAAATATCATACTAGTACCCAAAATTTTCGGTTTTGTTAATCGTGATAATTAATGAAATATAGTTAGGGATGCTATGGTAGTTGAACCTATAAATAAGCCATGGGTTTTTGGCTCTGTCCCTCTCTAGATTTTGTTTTTTTCTCTTATATATTGATGTCTAATTAATAAAACATTAGTGTACTAAACGGCTCTACCATTTTAAATAGTATAGTCTTTAAATTAAATGCCATCACCAACGGCTATCTGATGAGGATGGTTATCAAAATACTTTACATTGTTTTTGATATGAATTATTGAGTATTTTTAATAAAACTTTCTTCCACATTCTCATTTTAATTAATAAATACACCTTAAATCAAAAAGTTTAATTGAGGTTGTCTGAAACCTTTTCGAAGAAACTCATGAACTTTTTTTTCCTTATGGAACTCCAACAAAACTCTTTTCGGCAAATTAAAGTATAAAACTATCTCACCTAGTTTTCCTAATTTTAGTGCAATGACGACGTTGAAGTGGTATTGACAGTTATAACTTACTAAGGAATTCAATCAAACTATATTTGTCGTTGATAACAATTTTGGCATTTTTTTATATTGTCAATCATATTTTTCATAATCTTCTTCTTCTTCTCTGGGAATAAAATAATGACGAAATACTTTTTTTTTTTTTTTTAAATACTTGACATAACAAATTGTCTTTATTGATATGTGTCAGCAATGTATGTAATGTAAAGGTACCCCTAGTTTCGTGATGAAACCATGTGGAATATTTTCCCGAAATGATGTAGACCGTCTTCGCTTTTTATACACTTTTTGTTCTTTATACATTGTCCTACTATATATTTAAATAATATAAAAACGAATAATAATATTAGAGGGATAACGAGAATTGGTCGTTTCTTCGTCTGACAAAACGTTCTCTCTGTGGGCGGGGCTATCCGTTGGCTGTGACTGCCTCTTGTTTTTTACTCACGCATGGCCATTGTTTAGACTTTAGATGTTCATTCTCATACACAGCACCACACCCAAAATAATTGTCTACAACTAAAACAATCGAGTTCCTTGCTGAGAAAGAACTAGTGTTTGTCTTGGGTTTAGAGTTTTGATGGGGTAGAATATCTTCACTCTTTCGTTTTATCAAACGCCAACGATTGTCACAAGGCATAATAGTCTCAAAATGCAGCTATATGAAATATGGAACTGAGATATAAAATTGAGATTGTGGTTTGAGCCAGAGACAACGTTGCCGTCAACACTCTTTCATAAACCTATAATGAATGTACTACTAAAGAGATTTCAAAGTGCACCGAGATTTGGAGAAGCGTGAATAGATTTCATTGTGAATTTGAGATGGGTGAACCTAAAAGACTAGACAAGTCTAGAGTTAAAGTAATTGACTACTTATCGGTAACAGTGCTGTACAAAACGAACCAAAGGACTGTTTGGCAAAACAAATGAATTACTATACGAAATCGCGGTCTTCTTATGCGTCCCTTACTAAATCAAAACTATACATTTCAAGCATCGTCTTCATTTACCTTTTTCTAATTGGATGTTAAACTAACAAGACACTTAGTTTCCTGCATTTGTTGTAGCTTTAGTTGATTGCTTCTCGTCTTCAACATCCTGTAAACACGCAGCGCAGGGAGTTCTTTAGTCCGAATTCATGAACAGCAAATTCTAAGCGGAAATGTAAAAGGGTGCTTACTGAATTTCCAATCTTGTCAAAGTCATCCTCAAGGCTTCCATCACCATCATCTGGAAGAGGTTAAACACAAATTAATAGATTATACATCCTGCTAAACTGAACTAGAGACACAGTATACACAACAAATTCAAGCCTTGGCTGATCCAAACAACTTGATATACGCTTATAATGACGAAAATAGTGATGTAGATCCAAGAGGAAGATAACCAAAAACACAGTCAAAAGTAGGTAGCAGAGAATAGAAAATATCACCTGGAGTTTCATCACTGTCTTCGAGATCTCCCAAAAGGAATGTATCCAGATCCTGCTCAGAAGTCGCAGTAGATGTTCTACTGATTGCAACATTCTTTTCCACTGTTTCTGTCTCTCCAGTCGCTGGAGCCTTCTTAGCTTCTTCATTTTCATGTTCTGCTTTGGTCTTAAGTGCCTCCATGTACCTCCTCTCATATCTGAGTAAAGTCATTACAAAAAGAATGCCTCAGAACAAGCCAACGACCAGGATACCATATCATATCGATGAGATATGTGGGTCACTAAATTGCTATCCGTTACATGAAGGACTGTTGAAATCAAACTATAGATATAAGTCTTAAGCTAATGACATTCTTTCACATCACAATCTTCTAAATGCATCATCAGACTCCTTTGTCCACCCATTACTCAATTCCTTGATTTGGATCCTATCTCTACTAAAATCATAAATTTATGGAAGAGATGGTAAAAGACTTACGGTGAAACATGAGTACTCACTAGTGTGAAATATATCCTCCAGAACCTCCTTTCTTTCATGAATCGCGGGCAAAGTTCGTATCTTAACTTGGAGATTTGCTGCAACAAAGTACAAATACATTGTAACAACAACAAATGAAAGTAAATAAAAAGGATGAAACTCAGCTACCTAGATTCCTACAGTAGACCCTACCTTGACAGAGGTTAGAACCAGAGTGGCATGTCTCTCTTGCCAATCCGAGAGATCCTTTCGAACATTCGAAGAATTCGTTGTCACATCAGCAACTTCATCAGGTTGATGATCTATCCAAGTTTTTTCACATTCAGAAAACCAAACACATAAGAGCCAAAAATAGAAACAAAATCAACAAATACCTTGTTCAGGAAAAGCTTGAAATGTAGCAGAGGTCAAGCCTTCAACGAACTCTCTCAAATCATCCGTTACACCGAATTCGAGAAGCTCTGCATCTGAACCAGATCCTGACCCGGACCCGGACCCGATAATATCAGCGATCGATTTGATGTTCTGGATCTGATCAGCTTGTTTCAGCGCGGCGACTTTGAACTGATCCGCCTTCTTTGAAGCTTCGGCAGCGAACTCTTTAGATTTCTTAGCCGTTTCGGCAACGAAATCGGAGACATTGAGTTGATCGGCTTTCTTAGAAGCTTCGAGAGCGAGTTCCTTGGATTTCTTAGCAGTCTCGGTGACGAGATTGACGAAGCTCGCGGAGGATTGTTGGGTGATGGTCTGAGATTTCTTACCCGCTTCTTCTGCGAACGATTTTGCCCTCTTCCATAGATCCTCCATTGCCGCGACTACTATTTTTCTTTTCTTCTCCGATCTGTTTTATACAGTTTTCTTTGGCGATAACTAAAACGAAATCCAAAAGTCTGAGACCTTCTAAATGACGCAGAGGGATCAAAGACAAGATGCTAAGTAATATGGGCTTTAACGATGAACTAATGATGAAGCCCACAAGGGCCCATTACTTCTCTTTTCTGATCGTATTCACGCTTTTTTATAGTACGAGTTAAAATGTTGTATGGTTACTGTATAAATTTTCCAGTAAATAAAAATAGACAATTTTCGTTTCAATTTCTATGGTGTAAAATTTGATCGGACGATATCAAATGTTATTTTATGATATTATTTTCAATTTCTCGATGTTTTTAAACTTCAAGTGAAAACAAGTTCTTTAATCAAGTGGTAACAACATTTTTATTTGTTTTTTTTTTTTTGTGAAACAGAACATTTTTATTTGTTTAAAATTTGAAATTGCTACCTTCTTAGGTTTTGATTTACTTTGACCAAGTAAGTTCAAAATTCAAATAATTAAATATTAAATTCGTATTACAATATATAATTTTTTGTTAAAGAATTCAGATTACAATATAACGATGAGATTAATATAGAAAAGGTTTTAACAATAATTCTCTCTAGCTCTCTCAGTCCCCAAATATTAAATTTATTGCTCCCCGAAATACAAGAAATTTTGAAAGGGAAAAAGGCTTGATGATGTTGATATGAAATAAGGACATGCCAAAAATATATTAATTAACCGGTGTTTATAGATCGATCTTATATTATTTTAAATTGATTGATAGATCGATGTAGTCTATTCAAGCGGCGTAACAGCCAAGGTAATTGTAAATGGGTTCAAGAGTCAGATCCAGATTGTTCCTCCTCATCGCCGTTTGATCTTCTCCTTGGTACATACCTCTGATCAATCACACAATCATATAACAAATTCAAAACATAAGACAATAATAGTGTTGGACTTGTGGTTATAAAGTCATCTACTTGGCGTTAGATGATCTACCTCTAACGCCACACCTAACACAAACCCTAAATATGAAATGCATTCACTATCATTGCCTATATGCATGACTGCCAAACACTTCACTATGTATGAGAATTTGACATTAATTATGGCAAGACAAAAATAGACAAAAAAAATGTAAAAAAAAAAATGAAATACTACCGTTACCCCATATTTAGGAAAGGAGAAGTCTGATGAGAGATCATGTAAGGATGAGGGTGTTGAAATGGTTGCGGTTGCGGCCGTGGTACATCGTGGTTGCGGTTCAGCTGCTCACATTGGGTTTGTTGTGTCCTTAGGATGTTTTCCCTCTCCTTTATCTATACCGATTACACACGCCAAGAAAATTAGATAGGCATCATTTTTATAGATTCCCATTTGCAACTAATTAACTATTTGCATTTATTCAAGGAACTAATATTTTTTTTTTTTTTTTGTGATATGATATTTTCAAACAAAATGCAAAGTAATAATTAAAAAATGTTAAGCGAATTTTAGCGTCGTACAATGAAACAATTGTGATTTATTTCATTTAATTTGTTCTCTTAATCAAGTAGTTTCATTGTACGTTTGCTTACTTCTGATCAAACTCAAATAGAGCTCCTAGCTAATGTGTATGAAATTTACACATAGACTATGATTATGAGAAGACAGTTCAAGTTCAAATCTGGGAGACAACCTTAATACTAAACGGACAAAGCCCACCTATACGTGCAGCTAGGCTCATGATTATACCAATCAAAAGAAACTACATATCTATTCTTTTAACTCAAAAAGAGTTGGTGCCGAAAGTGGAGAGATGGTAGCTTAAGGTAGAGATTGAAGTGGAGTTCAACAGTGGAATCTTAAATAGTAAATAGTTGTGAAACAGTTAGAAATGCAAAAAACAATGATCACCTGTTTGGTAAGCATGCTGTTTTCCTCCTGTATCTCCTTCTCCTGTCATTTCCAAAAAATTGACACCATTGTTAATTTCTCTCTTCACGCTCTTTCTATATCTATATATAAACATACATCTAGTAACTACTTAAAACACTAATATATTGCCTCTAACATATAAGTCACTCATATATACACACGACTTGAGAGATAATAAATAGTTTTAACTTAGCTACCTTTCTTTGGAGGTGGTTGAGGGACTCGTACATGAGTTGATTCTGCATTCAAAAATTCCAAAGCTTATTTATTCATATGAAACCTCTATAAAATACTTGAATATAATATATCGACACAAACTCAAAGATAGTTAATTAGGCATAGAGATCGTGTGAGGGATATATTTACATACTTTTCTGGAGCGAATGTGCTTAAGAGCAGTCTCAAGCTGCTGCTCCAGATTTTGGAGATCCTTGAGGCTCATTGGTTCCAAGTCTTCTCCCAGATAATGCCTGTGATATTTAGTTAATACCACTATCTCTTTTGTTAAATGTCAATGTTTAATTTCTATATTAAATTTGAATCTATTACGTACCTTTGGTTCCTCTCCAAAAGCTCAATCTTAGCCTTAAGCCTGCTATACTCCATTGACCAATTCGGCTGTGCCTACACAAATAATTTCCAGTATGCATGTAATCAGTTTATATGATATGTTATTGAGTTAAAATGCATGCAAGATTCAACATATACATAAATATATGATGGTGATCATTAAACAACATACATTGACGTGAGAGTCAGGTGCAATCAGCTGCCTCTCAGCGTACGAATACCTCTCGTAGCGTTCTAGTACTTTCTCCATGCTGCCACATATTAAGCTTATAATTAGTTTCGATTATTCACCCACAAAGCTGTCATATTACATTTATAGAACCACCAATATTTGCATATATTGGGCTTTCCAAGCCCAATCCAACTTCCTTATTAGTATGATATTGTCCGCTTTGGGCCTACATGCTCAAGCCCGCACGGATTTGTTATTAGGCTCCTTCCCAAAAGGCCTCATACTAATTGGAGTTGGACTTTACTTATATATTAGAAACTTATTTTCTAAACTTCCGATGTGGGACGTTGGTTTGTACCCAACAATCTCCCCTTCAAACCACGGACCACGAACATTGGGCCTCCTCTTCAGCGAAACCTTAGCACCCTAACTCGGCACCTTCTTATTCGTGAAAGTTCTTAAGGAACCTTCTTATCATGTCACATGAGGGCTTCTCCCACACCGAACTTTAGCCCACACCCCTAGGTCCATATTTTTCAACCTAGGCTCTGATACCATTTATTGGGCTTTCCAAGCCCAATCCAACTTCCTTATTAGTATGATATTGTCCGCTTTGGGCCTACATGCTCAAGCCCGCACGGATTTGTTATTGGGCTTCTTCCCAAAAGGCCTCATACTAATTGGAGTTGGACTTTACTTATATATTAGAAACTTATTTTCTAAACTTCCGATGTGGGACGTTGGTTTGTACCCAACAGCATACTCAAATATATATCTTCTCAGCTTAGCACAAAATTAAAGGCCATTTGTTTCAAATTGAACGATTCACCCAAAATAGGTAATAACATATAGCATCTAAGGGTTACCTAATTGATTAATAATGCAATTATATTAAGGGTTAAATATTATTTTCTATTAGGGAATAGAGCTGATCTCTAGTTTTGTGCCTTAACTCCAGAAACAGTACTGATTTCTACAATTCTACCATTTTTTGTATATGCTTAAACAGTTGAATCATTAACCCTACTTCTCAAGACGTATTGAAGCGTCTTATGACCCCAGCTTTAAGTTTCAAATCCTTCGATAAATATTTTTATTAGAAATATATAAAAAAGATTTATTAAATGATGTAAGGTAAAATACATTAATTATTTTTTTGTCGATTTAGTTTTTTTAAAGAACAACTGTTGAAGTTAAGTTTGACCATCGGTACGGAGAAGCTGTTAGAAAAAAAAAATGATTTCTTTTACATTAATCCCCAGAGGTCAAAGACTCCCTATACTTAGATGTCACATCCTTATTTTCCAGTTTCTCTATACCTATAAACCCATTTGGGAAAATAAATGAAGAGATTTTCTTTATAAACTTAAGATTGTTGTTAGAATAATTTGTTTATGGTCCATAAGACAGACTAGAATTATACATATCAAAATTTGTGTTCATACTATGCTATTTAAAGTACTTAAGCAGAAGGATAGCTTTCCTAAAATTAAAGGCAAAAAAACCCTAGTCTAGAACATAAGCATCGGTCCTTTCTGTAACTAATATACTTAACTTGACTTGAAGCAAAATATCCATATCCAGATTCTGACGATTTCTTAAAATCCATGCCACTATCAGTATAATTATGTAGATCGTATTCTAGGGTTCACTAAGAAGTCCTACAAAATTTCATTTTCTTTTGACATTAAATTATTAATAAAAATAAACTAATGGTTTGACCAACGCAATCAGTTCGTAGATCCAAGTAATCAGATACCAAATATGTGACAAATTTTCATAAAGACAGATAAGAGAAGATCCAGAAAATATGTCTTAAGTAGAACAAAAACTTCTAGTTAGGGCAAACAAATTAAAGGAACACTAAAAATAAGATTAAAACAAAAAAGGAATTAAGCAATTACCAAGATTCAGAGGTGTACTCGAACAATTTCCCCTTATGGGAGAAGACAATAAGGGAAACCTCGGCATCACAAAGAACAGAGATCTCCTGAGCTTTCTTCAAAAGACCAGCTCTTCTTTTAGAGAATGTCACTTGTCTATTGATCTTGTTCTCTATCCTCTTCAATTGAACCCTACCCCTTCCCATTTCTCGTAAATAAATAAACTATATATATGAAAAACTCCAAAGAAAAGAAAACAAGAGAGCTTGATCTAATTAGGAAAGTTTTTCTTCTTTCCTTTATAATGATAATAATGTGAAAGAGTAGTGCTCTCTTTCACTCTTTATTTAAAGAGAAGATATTTTGGAAATAGCGGTTTAAAAGAAAGCTAAAACCTGGTTTTGGGCAAGGAAATAAACCAGAGTTGGTTTCTAGGATGTGTTGTCGACTTCTCATTGGTCTGATTCCATTGCCTAATGTCGAGTCTATGTTTTCTCGTATATAATTCTCAAAAAGTGGAACACTAATAAAAATAACAGTAATTGATTATCGACGTCTCGTGACGTGAAAATGGGTTAGCTAGACAAGTGAAATATGCACAGACCACTGAGCTTCCCCAAGTGTCGCATTCGCTTTGCATTGACGGCGGAAATTTCTCTGTGGATTTCTTAAATCAAATTTTTTTATTTGCTAGCTATATTATATGTTTTTTCATTAAATAAACTGTGATGTAACAATGTAAGTAAGTAGTTATAAGGTTTTAATTGCTCGGCGGTAACAGTGAATTAAGTACATATAGACGTTTCTTGGTAGAGTTGAACACCAATTGACAATTGTGTATTATGTTGAGTCAATAGATTTTCACGTTGGATATAAAGAAACAGCAGAATAATTAATTTAAATTTTGGGTAAGTTAAGGAAATATCCAAAATACAAAAGTGTTTTTTTGGTATTCAGGCAAATAAACTCAAAAAAAAAATGCTGAAAATACAAAAGTTATCTTTGATTGATTTCTAGGGAATAAAGAGAACTAAATATTATAGATTAATACGGCATGATTTGAGCAGACCAAATGATAATAACTTATGTAACACGATTTATTCATATAGATGTAGTACGTAGATCCAAACATCGGAATAAGATACGAGAGAAAATGGATACCCATTTATTTATGTGGAGATAAGAAGCAAGCAACTAAAGCAATTAAAGTACCAAAGAAGAACATTTAGAGCAAAACTAAGAGAATCTAAAGCTCGTGCCCTTGGCGACAGCATCCGCTGATCTCCATTATCGACACTTTTCTTACATATGCAGTACTTCCTCCTTTGTCCATTAGAATTTATCATATATATGTTTGAATCGTTGCAACTATTGTACTTAGTTCATTTTTCTTTTTTTCCTTAAAAATACTTTTTGAGTTTTGTATCTGTCAACATATATTTTTTCAACTTTTTGGGATGATTTACTAAGTTAGCATAAATTTATTATAAAAAAAGTTGGTAAATGACAAAGAGGTAAATGTGATTAAAATAACATTTGACCAAAAAATAGTAGTCGATATTTACCTTATTTATCTCCCGAATAAATTGGATCGATCAATGAAGCAAAGAAATCAAATGGTGTTAGCACAAAGTAATGAGCATACCAACATTGAGAAACCTACAAAAAGCAGACACATTATCTACGTAAGAAAGAAGAAATTATCTTTGTGATCAAAAGTACGCAAAATCGGAGAAATGGTGAATACAGAGGCAGCGACGGTGACCAACAAGCAGATCATATTCCGAGACTATGTGAGTGGATTCCCAAGAGAATCTGATCTTAACATAACCACAACTACCATCGATCTAAGGCTTCCCGAGGGATCCACGTCAGTGCTGGTGAAGAATCTTTACTTGTCTTGCGATCCTTACATGCGCATTTGCATGGGAAAACCTGATCCCTTGTCTTCTTCCCTCGTTCCACCGTACAAGACTGGCGTGGTATGAACAAGGACTTTACATATATTTCCATTGTTCTCTGAAAATTGGAAAATCTCCATTTGAAATTAGAATCAAATTATTTGATTGTATTATTTAATGCATGTGTTTATTGCAATGGTTAATGTTTTGGAACCAATGATAGATTTGAAATTTTTATATTTAGGGTGTATAATGTCAGTATATAAGGTTTCTTGAAAATTTTATATTTAGGGTGTATAATGTTAGACCATTTCAGTAACATTAAACTGGTAATATTGATTACGGATAAATTGTTTTCATTGAATCACTTCTGGTGAATATGGTGTCCTCGAAGAAATTATGTCTAGCAAAGATTGAAAATTTCTTTGGGATTGTTTCTTATCTACTTCTTGTTAAAGATAATTTCAATGTGTTGTATGCAGCCAATCATTGGGCTTGGAGTGTCTAAAGTGATAGATTCAGGGCATCCAGATTACAAAAAGGGAGACTTACTTTGGGGACTAGTTGGATGGGAGGAGTATAGTGTTATTACTTTAACTCATTACTCACATTTCAAAATCCAACACACCGATGTTCCATTATCTTACTACACTGGACTTCTTGGTATCTCATCCCACTCTTAGTTTGGTAGCCAAAAAACCTTGTCTATGTGATGTTTTTTTTTCTCTATTTATCTCACGCTCAGTTTGGTAGTGTTTTGATTGTTTCATTTGATCCGAACAGGTATGCCTGGTATGACCGCTTATGCTGGATTTTACGAAATTTGTTCACCTAAAAAAGGAGAGACTGTCTTCGTGTCAGCTGCATCTGGCGCTGTTGGTCAGCTCGTGGGACAATTTGCAAAGTTGATGGGTTGTTATGTCGTTGGTAGTGCCGGCAGTAAAGAAAAGGTACTTAAAACTCTACATTTCTTATCAAATGCATATCAAGAAAGCGATTTTCTCATTATCCTTATTTATGGAGTTTCCCTAAGGTTGATCTTCTCAAGACAAAGTTCGGGTTTGATGATGCGTTCAATTACAAGGAAGAGAAGGACTTTAGTGCTGCCCTAAGGAGGTCAGTTTACACATCGATCTCTAGTTTATATATAGATACAAAATCATACATGTAAATATACAAGGGCTAACTTATTATAATTATATTCTTTATATAAAAAAACTTATTATAATTATATAGGTATTTTCCGGAAGGGATCGACATATATTTTGAGAACGTTGGAGGCAAAATGTTAGATGCCGTACTCATAAACATGAGGTTGCATGGTCGTGTCGCAGTATGTGGAATGATCTCACAGTATAATTTAGAGGATCCAGAAGGTGTACACAACCTACCGACCATCCTTTACAAGAGGATACAACTTCAAGGGTTTGGGGTTTGTGATTTCTACGACAAATATTCAAAGTTTTTGGATTTTGTGCTTCCTTACATTAGAGAAGGGAAGATAACATACGTTGAGGACATAGCGGAAGGATTCGAGAGTGGGCCTTCAGCTCTGCTAGGTCTCTTTGAAGGTAAAAACGTCGGGAAACAACTCTTTGTGGTTGCTCGTGAGTGAGACGTTGTTCTTTGAAAACTAGATTATGACTCTTTGTTTTTAGTTTTGTTCGGACAAGTCATTTCCTCGACACATAGGAAATAATAAACGCATTTTTTGAACTTGAAAATGAGACTTGTTTCAATTTTGTTTGGACGTATCATTTTTTTTTTTAGACGTATCAAGTTATGTTAACTTTTCCTCTATGTTTTAATCATGGTTCTTGTATCGTTGTGTAAAGTCTCGGCTTTATGGTATTAAAAAAAATGCGATGTCAACATTTAAACAAAACAATTGAGAATTCTTCTCACCATTTGAGCTCTATAGTAAACTTTGTTAACATGATTACTTGATTAGTCCAATACATCAAATTGATTAAAATGATTAACTCAAATACACCCATTCAAAGTGGTTAAGCCTGTTAATGTTTATATAGGCCCAACAGCCCATTAAGTGAGTCTTTTAATATGCCGTTTAAGATTTGGCCTTTTAAGTTTTTTGATCTAGTTATGGAGGGAATCATTTTATTTCCCGCGACTCAGTTAAAAGCATAAACCCTCTCTCTCTATCTCTCCCTCGGATTTGTTCTCCGGCGTGGCGATTTTTTTTCTCCGGTGCTGCGATCTCGTGTTTTTGGAGTTTCAATGGCGAGTCCAAGAGTCGTATCTGAAGATAGAAAGTCTGACGACCTAGAAATCGTCTCCGTCGGAGCTCTCTATACCGGCTCATGGGACAAGAAGTACTGGAGTTCATCTAGGGTTGGTTTTCTCTGCTCTCTATCCTCTATTCGTCGCTCGATAGCTCTTGTTAGCTCTCAATTTCTGTGTTACTTATCTAATTCCATAGAAAATTGAGAAGAAATAGAGAATTTGATTGGCTTCGATTAGTGCGATTTGATCCATGTTGAGGATTTTCGATGGCGGTTATATGTCTGTGATGCAATGAATCGCGATACGTATAGTGTAGCTTTAGTGTACATTTTTCAATCTCAGGACCGACGAACAGTGGATTGAACGATGATCGCTGATTTTGAAGAATTTTGATTTTAATTTACGACCTGTGATACTTCATAGGATAGAGAGTAGAGACTAGATCCTTAAGCTGAGGATGTGGATTGGGTTCAATGAAGAAAAGGAAACTTGAATTTTGAGTGTTCTCAGTTCCTGAACAACACTAGATCTTTTGGTACAACTTATGCATATGGGTGTACTGTCTGCAGAATTTCTATAAATACTTACCTTCTTTTTCTTTTTCATCAGGGCAAAGATCGTTTCCCTTATCCTGTAGGCTACAAAGCTGTTCGAGCTCACAATGGAAACACATATTACATGGAGATTGAAGAAGGTGCCAAAGGACCTTTATTTCTGGTGTGTTGCTTATTCCATATAAATTTTAGAAGCTTGTGCATATTTTTTTAGAATGCAGCAAAGTCTTACTCTATTGTTGCAGATTAGATATTTGGATGAATCCTGGACGGGGCAGACCCCGGATATTGCATGGGGAAAGTTCCAGAAGACGGGCTTCTCCCACTTAAAAATATGGCATGGAAAACGATTTACATGTAAGATGGGCGGCATGGAGGTACACATCTCAGTTTATCCTTCTTTAGACCATCTTGCATGTTACTTTTACAACCAATTCTAATCTACGATATAATAGATGTATCAAAATCAAACATGCGTCATTGCCTTTCCAAGAATGTTCTTGCATATTATTGAGATGATTTGGCGAATCTTTTGAATAACACTTGCTGGCCACATGATCACTATCTGTATACTTGTTAGTTTTATTGGCACGATTATTTAATCTGCATTTTGTTTAAGTCATGGAACATTATAGTATAAGTAGCGCTCTTTTAAACGGATTAGATACAGTTAAGATGTGGGGATCTATAAGCTGTGATCATACCTTTTGTTCTCCTGATAAGGAGGCCTCTTACTGCCTTCTACTATTCAAAACAGTCTGTCTTTTGTCATTATGCGCCTACTTTATCATCCTTGCATTTCTGACTTCTCAATTCTGAGTTGATTCATAGGCAAAACCATAGTACTTGGGATATACTCGCCAGACAAGTTGAGCATAGTACTTTAACTAAGAATATTTTCAAATGTTTTCCTTTCCTTCGGTGTTGGTCGCTAGAATATCACCTGGTTTGTAGTTTATTCTAATCCTACCACTGTGATCGGGTTAATTGAATACTTCGGTTTAAGATGACTATGATTTTTTTTTTGCTACAGTTTTTTGGCTTCAAAAACCCGTTGGTTCAGAGGTTGCTCCGGGAACTTGTGACCAATTCCCATGGAATAGTAGAATCTAGCCCCAGCAGTAGGGCCTCTCAAATCCGGGTCAATGATGAAAGGCCAGTCATGTGTGCAAATCCAAATTTATTATGTTATCTGGACATGCCAGTGGCTAGAAAGAAGAGAAGTAGAAAATCTGGAATAACATACCAGAATTCAGTAGTGAAAAGTGGCCATAAAAAGCCAAGATTCCAAGACTCATTATCTGGTGGCGAGATTTTAAATTCAGCACCAGTGTCAACTAGTTCAGTAAATGGAGAAGTGGAGCCAGTTGGCCAGCAAGTTGCACTACCAGAGCAGTTGCATTCTAGTCATGCTACGAACGAATATTCATCTCAACCATCAGAAAAGCCACCACAAGTGAAAGTTGTCATCCCTATTCAAGAAACAAACCGACTTCCTGACAGCTGTAAATCAAAGCCATTATCCAAATTTTCTGAAGAGGTATGCCATAAAGAACTTACTAGTATGCTTTTCTCGAATTATCTTTCGTTATTTTAGCGTAGTATACTGGTGTAGTTTTTTTTCTCCAGGAAAGTTGTTTTGAACAAGAAGTGTCTTAAATTTTTCAGCTTCATGGGTTGCAAGAAAAGGAAAACAAACCCAACGATGATGATTTTCTTAATGAGAGCCCAAATATGACTGGTTCCAGTTTTTGTGCACCTGATACCTTGGATTTCCTGCAAGGTATTACCTTTTCATTTTAACTTGTTTAATACCAAGATGTCAGCATCTAGCAGTAAGAAGATTGTAATCACTATGGCTGCATCATTTCATGGATTCCTTTTTGTCCAATTCTTGCAGATAACACCATAAGTTCTGCTCCAAAAATAGATGATGATACAAGTTGCATGAAAAAGGAAGAATTGATACTTGCTAACATGGTAGTTGGTGAAGGGATTTTAGCTGAACCAAATGCAGAGGATTTTGCTGACTCTACTTTGAATCTGACTTCTAAAAATAGTGATTCTGATTCAGTTGATCAGGAAACTACCAAATCAATGATGTCATTACTACTTCCTCAAGCAATTCCACTGCTCAAGAAGGCCTCAAGCAAGAAGCCCCCAAGAAATGATATGTCAGACAACTGCAAAACAAGCCAACTTAATGATGCGTCAGGAAATGGTATAGTTAACCCCTAGGAAAGGCCTGAATATAGTTCCGATTCTTGAAGTATTCCCTTATTCCATAGTCCATAATTCCTCTTCTAAATTTGCAGCTGTCTCACTGGCGATAAGAGAATCTAGTGGAGATGATGAGAATATGCAAGTTGTTGCTCCAGATTCCGATCAGGATTTTGCAAGTAATGTATCCATTGCCCCTGACAGTTTTGATGAGTCTCACTTGGTTGGTCCTGGGAGTGGTCATATCATCTCTTCTTCCAAGGAAGTCTATCCAGCAGTCCTTCCTAAAATGCCCATAGCCGAGGAACATGTTGCAATGGTAAATGATCTATCAGTTTCTGCTTTGGAGACTATTGAGATCATAAACCCATCTTCACATGATGCTAGTACTATTATGGAAGAGAATAATCAAGAAGAATATGTGAAGAAGTCCATGTCAATACCACACTGCACCAGTTCAGCTAACATGATTTTATCCCAAGAATCTAAGGAACTCTGTGCAGCAGAAGGAAACTTGTTGCAAAAAAAACACCACTCTGAAAACAAGGAACCAAAGAGCACATTTTGTTCTACTGAAGGTAGTACGCTAAATCTATAAATATCACCATTTGCCTCCACCCTCAGAAGCTTTGCATCGCTATCTGTCTACTGTGTATATAAGCATGAGTCTAATTGCCTGCAGGTAATGGTTTTCTGGTCAACACAACCCCTACTGAAGCTTGTTCAATTAAAAAGGAAAAACATAAGGTGTATAGCAGAAAAAGAGTCTCGACCAATCAACATCGAAGAAACAGAAATTCATCCTCTGAAAGTAAAAACAGTTGCAGAAATACTGGAGAAGATGATCCCATAAGGAATATGTCTCCTATTAATTCCCCACGTATCTTGGAGCTTCAGCCGACCTTGTCTACCAACTCTGTATCAGATAGAACGAATCCTCTGGGCGATGGAAGCAGTCATGTAACAGAACAATACCAGGGTCCTGAGTTGGTGAACGTGAATAACAACACATTCACCAATGTAAAAAGCAATGAGGCATGTGTGGTACCACAAGATATGAGGTCAGCTCATGCTTTTGGAAATGCAAGTATATCATCATCCTCATTTCCAGCTTCAAAATTTGAGGATTGTCAAGCCAATATTGGTGAGGCATTGGGCATCCAAGTCTCTGAACCACCTTCTACACAGTCTCCGTATAAGGAAAATACTAGCGAGAAAAGCACGTCTGTGCAGGAATTTCCAGCTAGTTCAAATTTAAAGCTCAACAGAGATGTAAAGATCAACAATGAGATGGAAAAAACTGTTGAGCTGCTTGGCTGCTACTTTCATCCCATGCCTGTTTCGTCAGTATTACTCAAGTCTGTTGGGAATGAAATCTATATTTGCGTGTTGAGCTTTGCTACAGAAGATAGAGTTAGAACCCTATTTATGTACAAGATGTCAGCTAAAACACCAAGCAAAGGATTTCCCTCTGTCATTGGTCACACTCCTGCCATACTCCCCATTGTGGATGACAAATCTGGTGGAAATGTAAATTCATTAAACTTTTTCCTGGTTTCTTCTATTTAAATTGTTTTTTCCTTTCTAGTTATCTAATAGTTGTTACATTTCGTCAGAGAACACTCGAGATATCTAATTTGCACTTCACTCCAGACGGGTTGCATCTTATTTTAACTGGCAACATCAAAACACCTTATTGCAGGTTCGGACTCTTTACTCTTTCATATGGTCCAGGGATACAGAGTAAAGATATCAGCTAAGAGATTATTCTTTTCTCTTTCTTGCAGGAAGAGGGAAACTGATTGCTCGTGTTTGACTTGTACATCGGCCTGTTTTGAGGAGAATGCAGTGAGGATTGTCCAGGTGAAAACTGGTCATGTTTCTCTTGTGACAAAACTTCAAGCAGATGACAGTGTGCAGTGCGTGGTGGTGTGCGATCCTAACAATCTCATTGCAGCTGTTAAAAGTGGAAACCTTATTGTCTGGGCCATGAACTCGCATTGGAGGTACTCTCATTAGAGTTCATTGCTCTTCTCTTAAAATAGTTGTCAGATCCTTCTTCTATGTGGAGCTGTAGGTTGGATCATTATTGGACTCTTTGCTAATGTTCTCGTATCCTTAATTTGCAGTGGTCTTACCGAAGAATTTGTTATACTCGCAAATCCTTGCATATCATCATGCATCATGGAACTGAAGAAGATCCCAAAATGTCCTCATCTCGTTATCGGGCATAATGGTATTGGAGAATTTACAATATGGTATTTTGCTCCCTCTCTCTCTCTCTCTCTCTCTCTCTCTCCCCCTCTATCTTTGAAGTTTTTTCTCTGCCCATCTCTTTGTTAAATTACAGAACAATAGTCCTGCTAGGGAATGATGAGGACCAGCCAACTTTGCTTTTTGTTTTTCTTCCTGTCTCCATTGTTTCGGCCTGCTAACTTTGTTTATTCTCGATATAGGGATATCTCAAAGCGAAGCCTAGTATCAAGATTTTTATCTCCCAGCAGTTTGATCTTTGAGTTCATTCCAACCAGCTTGTTTGCATGGCACCCTGTACATAGTCATTCTACAATCGAGGATCACGTTGACATGATTTTAGCTGCAACAAAACTATGGTTCTCAAAAGGGACGAACAACAAAACATTGGTTCCAGCTGAAGTCAAAGACACTGCTATTTGGCTTTTAGTCTCTACTGATCTTGAATCAGATGCTAAATGTGACCGTGTAGAAAGTCCAGCTAGATGTTGGAGACTGGCTCTCCTTGTGAAAAACCAACTCATATTGGGAAATCAGTTGGATCCGAGGTATTATCACACATATCTTTCTTTACATGGATAATATCTTTCTTAGGCTCCTCTGGTTTCTTCATGTTCCGAGAAAAGTTGTTTTGCTTTGGGAATGATTATATGAGAAGTAAAGGGTCTATGAATGTTAACATTTCTAAATGCATGGTTCATATTGGCTATGGATCTGTGGTTTACTACAGGGTTGATGTTGCGGGTACAATATCTGGTCATGGAGTAGCAGGCACACTTGATGGACTTGTATATATGTGGGACTTGTCCACTGGCGCTAAACTCGGCTCTCTCCATGATTTCAAAGGTAAACATTGATTCAAGTTTTAACTATATATCCGTGAAAATAACGAAGCCAATTCTCAAAAGTTAATATTATTGCATGGATTTTGTCAGGTCAAAGAGTTTCATGCATTAGTACAGATGACTCGAGAAGTAATCATGGAGATGCATAGCAAGTGAAGATGGTCAGCTCCTTGTTTATTGGCATCCCGAAAAGTAAACTTAAAATCAAAGAGGGTAACAAATTAGACTTGGAAAGAGGTTTTGCCATGTTGACTTCAATTGGCTTGGCCTTGGCTATATTCTTAAGTCACCTAAGTTTTTATGCTTGTAAACATTTTTTACCATATGGCTTATTATATGGAGTACAAGTAGAGAATTTTCTTATCTAGTTAAAAAAAAATATTGTACGAAGATGTAAATGACAAATGATGATAAATAAATCTTTATGTATAATTAGTTGTTACAAGGCATTTCTAAGTAATCTATGAGAGTATATATAACTAAAAAAATTGGTCAACTTTTTCAACAAAGTATCTCCCTCTGCTAGATTTGCAATCCATGTTTGCTAATTATCCAAAAAAGAATTAAGAAGAAAATGAAATTATAAATAATTAAGTCAAAACGACGTCGTTGCTGGTAGGGTTCTAGCTCTTATCTTTCTCCTCTAGTCTTCACTTCTCATCTTTGCGTGGTCGACCAAACCAAAACCTCCCAAAAAAGAGAAGAATTAAAAGACCATTCGCTCGCTACTCTGTTACAGAAGAAGATGCCGACTCTCACAAAGCTTTATTCAATGGAAGAAGTCGCAACTCACAACAAGCAAGATGACTGCTGGGTCGTCATCGACGGCAAGGTCTATTCTTTTTCTCAATCTTTTCTTTCTTCTAATTTCAATTCGAATCTTGAAGGGGTCCTTCGCTTTCGGAAACCATATCTGTCTCTTATTGACTCTAGAATCTAATGAAGAATCTTGTAGTTGCTGTTTATATGTAGTTAGATTGAGCTAATCAGAATCTTCTTCTTATTTTTATTGGTAATGTGTTGACTTCTCAATCTTGGTCCAATTCAGTAATCTCTAAACATTGATGAACACTTGCAGGTCTATGACGTAACCTCGTATATGGATGAGCATCCTGGAGGAGATGATGTGCTTCTTGCTGTCACCGGTAAGCTTCTTCTTCATTTTCCCCATCTTTTTGCTTAATGACTGATCTGTTGTTGTCTCTACTCTAATCAAAGTAAGTGTGATGATGTTGTTGAAGGCAAAGATGCAACGGATGATTTTGAAGACGCAGGGCATAGTAAAGATGCTAGGGAACTCATGGAGAAGTATTTTATTGGCGAGCTAGACGAATCTTCTTTACCGGAAATACCTGAGCTTAAGATCTACAAGAAGGAGCAGCCAACAGACTCTGTTCAGAAGCTTGTTGACTTGACAAAGCAGTATTGGGTTGTTCCTGTTTCCATCATCACCATCTCTGTAGCGGTTAGTGTCTTGTTCTCTCGCAAGAGATAATAAGTAGTAGTCTCTCTCTTTCTTGCCTTGAGATGCTCTGAAATATTGAATTACTGGGGAATCAACTTCACACCCCCATTATAGATTTTTGAATAACAGATATGATAGAGATCATTGTTATTTTTCAATTTCATCAGATTTTGAGTTGAGATCATGTTTCAATACAAACATTAATGATATGAATATATATGAGTAATGGATGGTTTGGTTTGATGGTATCATCAATCTTATTATAAGAAGAAGTCTCTGCATATCGTCCTGTTTGACCTTACTCTTATCAGCATTGCACCAGATAGCCTCGCAAAGTTGAGACATTATCTATAGCATTGTGAACCTCTGATATTATGTAGGATATGTCGATTTGATTCAGAAAGACCTCAAACAACTACCAAAATGATCTTCCTTGCTTGTCCTTTTAGTATATGTAACTGAGAGAGTCTGAGACACTGGTGGAGCTATGATCATATAGCGATGAGAATATCTTAGTTATGATCCGTTTCATTGAAACCTGAAAGTTGGTAGCTCTATCTCTAGGTTACAGTTGAGAAAGACACTTCTTTGTTGAATTTCTTTGCTTTGTATTGTACATGAGATCTCCTCTCAAGTTCATGCAAGTATAGGACCTGATGTATCGCTTATTGCTCCTGAATTGAAATTGTCCACGGTCTATAATACCAGCCAGTAACAGAAAGGGAATCCCATAGGTTAGATCTTGTTGGCTCTGACTTGTGTTGATGATACTGCTGGTGGTATTATGGTCTGCGTCAGCTTTGTCTAATACCTGCAACAACACTCCTTTGTTTTTGAGTTGTGTTGCTCTCCTTGATTGAAAATAACAACCAAATAGAAGACTATATGTACTTGCAACAAATAGAGAAGACCAAATTATCAGCTTGAACCTACCAGAGTACACTCCTTAATATGTTCCCAAAAGATCCTTACCACAGAAAGGAAAACGTAATCAACTTGATCAATATCTCAGTCTAAGACCAAATTATCAGCTTGAACCTGCCAGAGTACACAAATGCAACCAAGTTACTAGTATCTGATTCGGGTAGCTCCGAATACATTATGTTTCTTTTTTCCTTACGACTGACAGAGGAACATGTTTCCTCAATTGATATTTAATTTCATCGAAATATTGCTTGCGCAGATTAAAAAAAAAGTATATTTATATTTTTTATATATATGCACCGTGAACATTTCAAAGTGAAAAATAAGAGGGCTGGAGTCCAGTGGTGCAAAATGTAAAGCTATATCCAACTAGACATAAAATCTCCGTTCCCCAACTTCTATAACCCCTCAAATCGCATTTTCCCCTTTCATTATTCCACCTAATTAAGCCTTTCATGGTTTTACGCACCAAATTAAATTATTTCCACAATTGCCAAATTATAAATTATCTTTTAATAAAGTTCCTAAGTCACATACGAATGTAGCTTTTTACGCATATTAACAAAGTGCAAAAAATTATTTTACTCGTTCAAATCATTTTACGCATATCTCTTTCATGCTACTAATCAAAAAAATATATATTAACAAAGTGATCACTACTACTACTAGCTACAGAACTACACATCCTCGTTATTTTTATTATTATTATCTGATTCTCTCTTTTTAATTTTAAAGCATTTATTAATATTATTATTATTATTGATTTCTACTATGTGTTTTTTCTTTCTCCCTCAACTTACTAATTTGAATCAAAAGTAAACAAAAAAATTAATTAACACCCAATTTTCAATCATGACATAAACATAAACACATCATTCAACTTTAAAGGTAAAAGTTTCACTCCTTACATTAATAATATAAAGTTCTTTAGGTTGGAACAAAAACAAAATAAACAAAATGTGATGTTGTAGTTTAGTTGGGTCCAAGCCCATCAACATTTAGCTCCCTCTTGAGTCATTGGGCAACCACGTAAGGAGTGACTAGTTAAGGAGGAGAAGCTTGGACTTGAGAGAAAGAGAGTAATGGAGAGGGGCCATGAGTAAAACCTGTGCAAAAGATTAAAAAAATTTAAGATTGTGTAAGTGAATTTTTACCAAAACAAATCTAAGAAAATTATTAAAATTACACTAAAATATAAAATTATGGTAGATATAGACTTTTAACCAAAAAAAGAACCAAGTTTTTACCAATTTTTTTTAAGAAAAAACTAAAAAAATGGTAGAAAAATATAGACTTTAAATCAATTACACAAAGATATAAGTTCGTGGAAGAAAAAATAAGAAATTTTACCAAAAAATACTTAAGAAACAAAACAAAACTATACATACCACGTTGAGCCATCATTTCTTGGAGTGTTGGTTGTTTGAGTTGATTATCTTCATCCCCCTTCTTCACCAGAAGAGTAATATCTTTGACTCTTGTGGACTCTTGATCTCTTGCTTCTTTGTTCTTCCCTTAAGCATTTGCGTAATTTTTGATGCCATTTGTGAAAAAGAGAGTTTTGTTAGTTATATAGCAAAAAGAAGAATAAGAAAAGAGTGATAGAGAGAGAGTGTTTTATAGAGGTCTTGTGCTTGGCACACAAGACTTGTGTAATTTATTTTTACATTTACTTTTATTTAATTTACTGTGTATTTGTGTAATTTGTAAAAATGAGAAAGCTTTGTTACTTTAACACAAGACTTGTGTAATTTGTTGCCTTTAACTTGTTGTTGGTTGGTTAAAAAAATGAAAAAAACGACAATTCTAATTATCTTTAGACAATACCTTATTCTCTCTCAGGAATAGAGTATTTTCATACCCGTACAATTTGCAAAGTGTGTTTTCATACATGAACAAATATATAGGGTTAATTCCAATCTAAATCGTAAAAAAATTTGAATATCATACTCAAACTGTACATTTAGTGTTTTTTTCGGAGTCGTAATTAACTAGTGTTAGTCAATCGTTATAGTTGCTTAGTCAACTGACGTGTGTTTGATGGCGTAGCTTAAAACGACGTCGTTGTTCTTGTTGGAATTAAAATTGTAAATTTTTATTGCCAAAATTGGATCTCGAACATTCCAAATCTCACTAGTCGTGTGTAATAAATTGTGTAAACGAGTGAGGTATCGGGGGTTCGAAATCCGATTTTTGCAAAAGGAACAAATAATCTAACTCCAACAAAACGTTGATACTCGATAACAAAACGTTGTCGAGTATTTCAAACAAAAAATTACTAAACCAGTGGATATTTCAAACAAAAACATTATTAAACCGTAGTTGCTTATCATTGAATTTTTGGTAAATTACTGCTGGTTAACCCAACAATTAAAAATGATTATAGGTTATTAGGTTATTAGTATGTTATTAGCCAAATATATCAAACGTGAATGACAAAATTAAATAGTAAAAAATTAAGAGCAAGGCCCCAAATTGGTACTCAGCAATCTCAAAAAACAATCTCTATAAGGTAAAGGAATCCTATAACCGGTTTGGTTTAATTGCATCCGGTTTACAAAAAAATTCAATAACCGTTAACATATAAATCGTTATTAGGATGACTTCTTGAACGGTATTTGAGATATCTCGACGAGGATTCGGTTCAAGGATTGAGGCCGAGAGAAGAACGGTGCGTGATCGGAGCCTTTGAGCTGAAAAACTTGTTCCGGTGGGTTTAATTTGATCATTGCTTCCTGGAGAAGAACCGGTACAGCGTAATCCTCCATGGTTTTGATGTAGAACCGTCGAATAGAACCGTAGTTTTTATCCGAGACGTGAAGCTTTTCGCTGACCGGTGCAAATGGGATCGGTCTAATGGATACCGAGGCCAATGCGAGGTCCTATAATACAAAAAAAAATGTCGGTTCAGTAATCAAATCGAAGTGCACCGGAATAAGATTTGATTGGTTTGGTTTAAATTACCTTTGGAGGACTTTGATTGAAGAGAAAGTCTCTAAGCAAAGATCTGTCGAAATCAACGGCAGTTGGAGGATTCTTTTTGCCGTTGGCGTACAGAAAGATCTGTGCTTGTTGCATCAGATCATTTGACCCCAGCTGAAAGAATTACATAAATTCACTAATTAATACAGTTAAAAAGGAATTTGTAAGCATAAGAGATTCTTCTTTATCTTAATGAAAAGGTAAATGCACTATGTAACTTAATTTTGATACTTATTTTGCAAATATATGAAAATTTTATTTTATGTATCATTTTTGCAAATAGCTTGATATTTTAATTAAAAAATAATTTAAACATATACAACACACTAGTTTTACATGATATCTTGTTATTTGATTTAAAAGGCTAAAAATGTATATCTATTAATTCTATAATTTTGTTATGGTATCATTTTTACATACATATACCAAAATTTAGCTATCCACCTGATTAAAAAGTACCTGTTGATTAAAGAGATCAAGAGTGCTCTGGCCATTAGCCAACATAGCAGCAGAGATAAAGACAGCTTTGGAGATCTTAGTAGGAAACATCTCCATTGCATAAGACATACAAGCTCCTCCAAAATCATGCCCCACCAGTATCACCTGTTATTAATATTAATTAATGTCTTAAACATGGTCCAATTGTTGTAATTTTCATCATTTGTTCTAAAAATAACTGGTTTATAAGATTAATTGTGAACCTTCTCGGTGGGTTTGAGGGATTCAAAGAAGTGAAGGAGAGGCTTGGAGTAATGAGCGAGGCTGGTGATGTTGTTTGTGTCAATAGAGCTCACGCCTGAACCGGTCAAGTCAACAGCATCGACTTGGAAACCATGTTTCTCTAAGAGGGTTATGGTTTTGTACCAACACCAAGCTCCGAATCCACCACCATGTACCAGCACGAACCGTTTCGTCTCCGAACCTTCCACCTTATTTAGCTCCTGTTACACATACATACACATACATGTCACCACAATCTTCACGTATGGTTAGGCTAATTCATTAGTTTTAAGCCAAGTGCTTGCCTTGTCAACGAGCTGGTTAGGCTTGATCATGGGATCGGTACTGGACCTTTGTCTAGAGCTAGAGCTTCTTACGAATCCCGCGCTTGACTTCTTAGGAGTCTGGACGGCTGAAACAGGTCCTGAGCTGGTACCCGAGGGCTGAACCGAGGGATAGACAACGGAGGTGGAGCGTCTGAAACTAGGAGGAACAACAGAGTTGCTGCTACGAGGGGTTTGGTTGAAGAGGAGATTAGTGGCTGCTAGTGTTTGCTCCTGAATTATATGAGAGTCTTTTTCATGGTCTTGATGATGATGTCTCTCTCTTATCTTCTTCGTCTTTGCTTTGATCCCGCCTTTCTTGGACGACGTAGTGGATGATGATCCAGAGCAGGAAAGCGAAGGAAGTAGCGTCCGCCTTCTAAATGAAGGCATCAGCGACAGACGACGCACGTATTTGTATTTCCCGGAGTTACTTCCTCCCCCGCCGGAGGATTTCTTGGGACGTTGTTCTTGCTCGTGAGATATGCATGTGAACGAGTTCCCCATTTTTTTGAATTTGCTATGTGTTAATTAGTTTCTCAACCAAACAAGAAGAGAAGGTTTATAGATACTACATGTTCCCATGTTCGTGCTTGCCTCTGTTGGTTGTTGATAACAAACAGTTGAGACCTTCACGTTGTCACAAATGGTATATGTGCTGCATTAGGACTTTGAGGTTACAACTACTCACAGAGCATTAATAATTTGACTAAATCTGACTGGTATTGAGGAATATATCTGAGAATAACTGTGCTCAGAGTTGGAATGTTTGTATTTTGACATAAAATAAGACAATACTTTATTATAAATGATTAAATGTATAATTAAATTTGGTTGCTAAAGATGTAGGGACAGATGTATAGCGGAGGAACATGGAGGGCACATTCTATTGACTTTCAAGATGAGTCAAGTGCAGGCGAAAGCCAAAAAGGGTATAAATCTATTACAAGATACAATAATAATTAATAAACCTGAAATGTTAGGTGTCTCCAGCTCCATAAAAGAGCATAGATTAAGCTTAGTCGTCTTGTTTCCTGTAAATTAATGCTAAGGCTCAGCCACAGTCATCTTCTTTCAAACGAACGAGTGTCCTCTAAATGTTTAGCATCAGTCTCCAGTGGTATCCGTGTTCTATCTCCATCAGAATAGAAACAGTTATATCTGCATTCAGAGAGAGAAATGATAATTACAAAAAGAACCAGAGATTTTGCTTTCTTCATCAGAAGCTTTTAGTCTGAAACTTGTAATATCTAGGACCAGGGGAATAAAGATGTAAATCTTCTCTCTATGCCAAGTTCAACTGATGAGAGATATCGGTTGTGTTTTACCTTGTTATAAGCAAAATTCACTCGGCCGTTTTGAAATGATGAGGAGCCAACTCAGACAACCATAAGGAATCAATTCTTGTGAGGTTCTTGATGTACTTCTTGCTGGTTTGCATGAGCTCGTTGAAGATAACACATTCTGGTTTCGCACGGAATAAAACAGAAGTTGGGTGGATGTGGACAACCTCACCACTTTCCAAAGCCCTGTCAAGTAATTAGATGACAATGGAAGTTTTGTTGTGAGCAAAAGAGCAGAGCATAATAGGCGTATTTACATGTGAAGACAATAAGTGAACCAAGAACGGAACCAACCTGTATGTACCGTCCAATTGTCTCTGTGCTGCTTTAAGGAAAAATGATGCAGCAAGACATCTACGAAACCCAAGCATGTCATTTCCGCATGAAGACACATTAAAACCTATCTGTTCAACATGTTCACGAATTTGCCTGCAACAATCCTTTGTGTGAATATAATAATTCATCATAAGGCATAACAATCAACTGTAATTATCTACGAAGAAGGCATGGCCAACCTATATATGTCACGAGCATGCTTCAAGGAACGGCTATTCACATAGTTCTCCTTACACCATTTTTTCATAATTTTATCAATATTGTTTCCACTACCGGCTGCTTTTCTCTTTTCCAAGAACTCATCTGACTCCCGATAAACACTAAGATAAGTTAGGTGATCCCCTTCAACGCTAGCAAAGTGGTTTCTTGAGGTTCTTGCCTGGCGAAACAAAGGATAAAATTGGCTGGTTTAATCAACTGTTAATATAAAGGAAAATGTGAATATATCCTGGTCCTTTGGTATACTCACCTCTTCTCTCTTCTCACGTGGATCATAAAATATGGACTCCACACTGAGAACGGCAACAGTGATCAGCATTTCCTCTAGACAGTTGAATTGATTGGCCAAAATTAGAGCTTTGGAGTATACAGGTTCCAGTGGGAGCCGTGACATTTGGTAGCCAGCGGGATTCTCTAGTTTACCATCATCCGCCAAGGCACCAAGCGAGTGCAACTCTGCCAATGCTTTTATAATTGCACCCCTGTTTAACATCAGATGCCAATCTAGATCAACAAAGTGTTTATGAAAAAACATTACAGAGTACATGCTTCAGCTATGAGAGTCAACTTCCTTAAAAGACTTTAGTTATAGCACCAAATCATCGATATTCTCAGTATAAGAGAATGACAGAGATATACACAACAAAAGGAGGTACCTTGAAGGTTTATCTATAAAATCAAATCCAACTATATCATCAATTCCCAGAGCCTTCAGCTGCAAAATGATATTTGAGAGATTGCATCTCTTGATCTCCGGTTTAGTTGAATCTTCCAATTTTTCAAATTCCCTCTCCGGATAAAGACGAAAGGACTTCCCAGGACCCTCACGTCCTGCGCGTCCACTAAATTGAAAGCCAAAAAAAAACAGAAAGCAAATATAATTGCAGGTAAAACTCTAACTTTTGCCAACAATCAAACTATCTTGAATGGAAAGAATTAATGAATGTAGAACGCGATACCTTCTTTGAAGCGTCTGTGCTTTCGATGCTGGAACAACATCAAGTGACTCCATGCCTTTGCTTGGATCATAGCTTCGGGCCTTAACAAACCCAGGGTCTATAACATATCTTATTCCAGGAATTGTAATCGATGTCTCCGCTATATTTGTGGCCAAAATAACCTAAAATGTGCAAATAGAATAACTCACACTGGTTTATTATCATCTCAACACAGTTGACAACCAAATCTCCAAAATAAGCAAATGATAGCTAAACATCTCTAACCTTACGAAAACCAGTCGGAGCTGGGGAAAAAACTTTCATTTGCTGCTCTGATGGAAGAGCAGAAAAGATAGCAAGTGGCAGTAGCTTTCGTTTGTCTTCAGGTATATTCTGAAGTCTTTCTTGGACAAGTCTCTCAACAGATTCGATTTCATCTTGCCCAATGAGGAAAACAAGTATGTCACCTGGCTTCTCCTCAAAATGAATCTAAAAGAATTAAATTGAAAGATCAGACGCAGAGTTAGTTTACTTGAACATTCACATGTCCATTCCACAAATGCTGGTAGAGGCAGGAGACATGTTTAGGTCACAAAATCAATAACCTGAAATATGGTGACCAAGGCGGCATCTACATAATCTGATTCAGGATGAACAGTGTAAAGAATGTCAACCGGAAATTGTCGCCCCTGCACATGAACAGCTTTGGCACCACCAAAATACTCAGAGAAAACACGTGCATCCAAACTGGCAGACATAATGATCAGCTTCAACGGAGATAATTTTCTGCCTTGACACCCTTTTAATACACCATTCTGCTGAGGACCATTCGCATCCCTTGTTTGAGTCTGTACTTGTGATGCTACATTACCAAACTCAGTTTTCTCACCAACAGGCTTTGACCTAGCCCGCTGTATTTTTTTCAGCAAGGCCAGCAGAACATCAGTATGAACACTCCTATCATGGGCTTCATCGACAATAATGACTGAATATCTAGAAAGATGCGGATCCAACAGCGCTTCTCTGCGGATTTCGACAAAAGGTTTTTTTTTATGTTTGTTAGAAACAGAGATCAGCAATAGATTTTCAGAATTCACAAAACTCGGCTACATACAATATAAGTAGTGGTTTTGTTTACCTCAGCAATAATCCATCAGTCATGTATTTCAACCTTGTCGAACTAGAAGTAGTATCATCAAACCTAATGGAATAACCAACCCTTTGGCCTAACTCAACCTCACATTCCTCAGCTACCCTTTTAGCAACAGTCACAGCAGCAATACGCCTCGGCTGTGTTATCCCTATCATCTTTCCCTCTCGACAGAATCCAGCATTGTATAGGAACTGAGGCAATTCTTCATGTGGAAAAAAAAAAAAACAAAAATGATCAACATCAATTAACTTGTACATTCACTTTAATTTGCCAAAAAGTGTAGTTGAGATTAAGCAGCAACAGTTATTAAACAACTTACGAGTAGTCTTGCCACTACCGGTTTCACCAACGATAATCAAAATATCATTCTTTTGAACCTCCTCAATCAAACGTTTCTCCACTGGATTTAACACAATCACCGACAGAGTTAGCCATGGAAATATCTCAATAAAATTTGGAAAAAGACAGAACCAAATACATAACTCGCACCTGAAGCAATAGGAAGAGACCTTCTATGTTCTGCTATCTTTTGTCTCATGCTGTGGTAAGTCAAAATTCACAAATCATTATGCAAAATCCAATCTTTTTAATTTTTTCGGGGAATCATATCAGAAGCTATAGTTAATAATAGAAAGTGAGAGACTAACCTGAAGGCAGATTTAGGGCTCGGTTTACTGTTTTGTACAAAGCTCTTATGTTCTCCTTGCGCCATTGATGGCATCCCCAAAAAATTCACCAAGGTTTCTTCAAAGTAGTTTAAGCTCAATTTTTTCCGCACCGGGCAAGAAACTCAACAACAGAAGTAGTTAAGATTAAGCTCAATTTAGAACAGCACCTTTCAAGAGACGATGCTTACGGTGGCCTGTGCTTGTTTCCTCCTGTTGGTTCTTAAAAAAAAAAAAAAAAAACTTTCGTAGGAAAAAAAGAAAATTAGGTTTTGCTACATTTTGGTTCGATTCAATATACCGGGACGATTGAACCGGTACTAATTTTATGTTCGCTTCCGGATTGGTTTATTACTTTGCTGAGCTTACGGCCCAAGCATTAGTAATTCTATGGCCCAATATATTTATTGACTGCAATCTTTGTTTACTAATGGTCCATGACAGGCTAATCCCTATACTTAACGGGTTTTAGAACTTCAAAAGCCATTGTGTAAGTAGAAAGTAAAAGAAATCTAAAAGCAACATTATTGGGAGGTGCTTATTTTTGGTTCTTAGTAAATTTTTTGGTTCTTAGTCCAATTTTTGACTCTTAGCTAAGAGTCATTCCTTAGCAAAATCATCAATTACACCTTTAATTTTAATCTCTTTTGAGTTAAGAACCAAGTTAAGCACCTCCCAATAAAGATGGTCTAAAGGAAGTTTGATTTCATGAACATTTTATTGAGTAAAAACATTAAAACAACAAAGAGATCTTAATGCAAATTGGACAATAATGAAAATTAGTTTACATAGGCTATAACTATAAGTCTAGCCTATGTTTACACTAATCAAGTAAGTTTTTCCTACTAAAACTTACATTTCGTCTCTCCTCCCCCTTGATAACTATATGTGATAAAAGAGTACGTAATATTACTACATTACACGAACAGGGGGAATACTCTGCTCGTTCTTGAAGAAATTCTCAGGATCATACTTAGCTTTGACTTGCATCAATCTCTTCAAATTCCCCAAGAAATACTTGTATCCATAGATCTTAGCCTCGTCCACGTTTGTCTCACCACTTGGATTGCTTCCAATATCGATGTCTCTGTAGTTAAAAAAGGCCTCTCTCGGGTTACTTGATACGTACGGTTCTGCAACCTCGTAGAGCTCCTTCATCATACTCAGGTTACTCTCCGTGGCGTTTGGGTCCAACCATGTAGTATAGTATTGAACCTTGAACAAGTTTCCTTTCCGGTGAGGAAACGCTGTGGCGTTTGCCGGAATCCGGTCCATCATTCCACCGTAAGGGTTAAAGTGCAGCCACACAATATTGTTGAATTTCAACATTGTCTTCCAAATCTTCTCCAATCCTTCTTTGGGGATTGGCTTTTTGACGTAATCCGATTTACTCTTAAAGAATACTGGATCCGTAGGCCTATCTAGAAGGACGGTCTTCGGTGTACCCGCTGGTAACATGGCCCAAAATAACGTCGTGTTAAGCCAACTCATTTCTTGACAATCTTCACGTTTTAGCCCTAATTCAGGAAAGCTCTGCTTCATAATCGCCATCAGCTCATCGGTTCGACCTAAGAACTGAGCCCAGAATACAATTGCAATGGTTCTCTCACCGCCTTTTGTTCCATTTACAACCTGAGGCATTGCTCTCAAGAAAAGACTATCAGGGAATTTGTTAGCGACAAGCTGCCACTTGTAGAGAACATCAGTGCCTCCTTGTTCCAAAGTTTTGTTAACCTGAAACACTGTCAAGATCTTTGGAACCTCAACGAGCTTGATTTTCCAAGATAGGATAACTCCGAAACTTGCACCACCACCGCCACGAATCGCCCAAAAGAGATCTTCTCCCATGGTAGATCGATTCAAGAGCTTGCCATTGACATCAATTAATTGAGCATCAATGACATGATCCACCGTGATTCCAAATTTTCTCATCAGATTTCCATACCCTCCACCGCTTATGTGTCCTCCTGCTCCTACCGTAGCACAAATGCCAGCCGGGAATGCTAGCGTTTGGCTTGCCTCATTGATCTTCACGTACAGCTCTCCCAAGGTCGCACCAGCTTGAACCCATGCTTTCTTGCTTGACACGTCAACAGTAATAGTCCTCAGATTGTGCATATCAAGAATGACAAATGGCACAGACGACGTGTAAGAAAGGCCTTCGTTGTCATGACCACCGCTTCGGATACGTATCTGGATACCATTGGACTTTGCGCAGACCACCGTTGCCTGAACATGAGATACATGTTTCGCCACCACGATGGCTAGTAGTTTTTTGTAGTTCGGGCTCGAAAACCTCGTGTTTTTCGTGTATGACACGTAAGAAGACAAGAAGGTGGTGGTGTTATCGGCTGTAAAGATGGCATCGGTGATTGGATTCTCCGGACTAATCCGATAGCGAAGGCATTCGATGAAGTTTCCAGAATTTGGTTTCGTCACTAATGCTTCTAAACCCGAAACCAAAAGAACAAGATACAAAACATAAAATGCTTCTTTCATTTTGCTGTTTGTTTTTGTTCGTCTTATGCCTCTATTAGGATTGTAATTTATAGAATAACAATATATGTATATGGAGATATAAAATAATTTAAAATTGACTATTTTGACTATTGTTTTCCAAATAGGTGTACTTTGAATTTGGTTTTGACTTTTCGTCACCATGTAGGTGTTTATTTTGAACAAGCTTATGAAAATTACAACGTACGTATATTACACGGGAACATGATTGCGATCAGGGATTGAGTCGCATGACTTGAACTTCTTTATTTCACATGATCATTTTAGGTAGTTGAATACAGAGATTTTCTAAGTGGAAACGAGATTTTATAAATCGAAATTAAACCTAAGGTGAGACTTCATTCATATTTTGAACAAACCTAGCTATCAAGTATTAATTGAAATAATTGCGATTAAGTTTTGTTGATTTTTATGCCAAGAATATTTATAGAATGCACTGAATTTTCCTCTCTTCTCTTTCAATTCCTTGTTTTCTTTGTCCCCCCTCGTTGAATTCAAATTTTAAAAGGTTACGTTGTTGTAGAATACTAGTGATTTTCCCATTATTTTTAGATGGGATATTTGATATAGATTTTTTTTTTAATTTAAACGTACAGTTAACTTTTCTTATAGCAGAAAGTAACGTCGATTCTTTTTTTTTTTTTTATCAACATTGAATTATCAGAAAAGTGCATGCACCATTAAATTGTGTTTACTATAATATCCTCTCCGTTTTAGAAAAAATGTCGTTTTAAAGTTTTATTTTTGTTCTATAAAAATATTGTCTTATATTATTTCAACTTGTTAATTAGAGAAAAAACTATTTTAGTATATTAATAAAGGGTTAAAAAGAATTTTAATGTTTTTTTTTTAATTTATGTAAAAATGGTAGAATAACACTCTTTGTAAAACAGAGAGGGTATTTGTTTAGAGTTAAACCTATTTACGTAAATAACTATAACTTTTTGTTTTGTTTTAGTTAGATGTTTTTCAAAATAATTTTGATTTGTGATGCTTCACAATTAATTATTTTAGTGTTTTAACTTCTTCATTCGTATACTGAAAGGTTGATACGAATATATGTGATGCTTTTGATGAAGTATGATACTGTTGAATTTCTTGCTTGTTTACGTCTCCAAAAGAATAGAGGACTCATGAAATTATGTGACTTAACTGCACAATTTATTCGTCCGGAGATAAATTGGGAAATTAGATCGGAGTAAAATATTCGTGAAGTTTGTCAATAAGTCTTACGAAATTTAGAGTAAAATATCCTCTCCATTCTCCAATGTTCGTGGAGTATGTCAACATAAAAGATGTATCTATATATATAGTTGTTTAGATCAATAGACGGTTAGAAGAAGTCTTAAGAAATTTAGATCAACGTTCTCCTTTTTTAAAAATTTTAAAACAATGAAATTTGTGAATCTAAACAAAAAAGAGTTTGTTTAAAATGAAATGCTTTTCGTAATCGATTAAAAATGCATTTCTGGATTTGAATATACATCGCTTACCACGCCCTGAGGAGAAGAGGCATGCATTGTCTTAGGAAGTGATGAGCAGGCTTAAGAAATTTTTTATTGAGTAATGAATAAATATAACAAAAGGATCATCATGCAAATGTGACAATAATAGAACAATATATAGGCTATATACACATGCCCACATAACTTATTGAACTTGATGAATAAATCTTATGAAACAGTAATATCACTACATTACACGAACCGGAGGAATGCTTTGTTCGTTCTTGAAGAAATTCTCAGGATCATACTTAGCTTTAACATCCATCAATCTCTTCAAGTTCCCCAAGAAATACTTGGATCCATAGATCTTAGCTTCATCAACGTTTGTCTCACCACTAGGATTGCTTCCAACATCGATATCTCTGTAATTAAAGAAGGCCTCTCTCGGGTTACTTGACACGTACGGTTCAGCAACCTCGTAAAGCTCCTTCATTTGACTCAGGCTACTCTCTGTGGCGTTTGCGTTAAACCATGTCGTAAAGTATTGAATCTTGAACAAGTTTCCTTTCCGGTGAGGAAACGCTGTGGCGGTTTCAGGAATCCGGTCCATCACTCCACCGTATGGGTTGAATTGCATCCACACAATATTATTGCTGAATTTCAACATTGTCTTCCAAAGCTTCTCCAATCCTTCTTTGGGGATTGGCTTTTTAACGTAATCCGATTTGCTCTTGAAAAAATCTCCTGGACTCGACGGTCTATCTAGAAGAATGCTCGTCGGTGTACCCGCTGGATAATCTGCCCAAAACAACGTCGAGTTAAGCCAGCTCATTTCTTGACAATCTTCACGTTTTAGCCCTAGTTCAGGCCAGTTTTGGTTCATTATCGCCATCAGCTCATCGGTTCGACCCAAAAACTGAGCATAAAATACAACAGCGATGGTTCTCTCGCCGCGTTTTGTTCCATTTGCGACCTGAGGCATTGCTCTCACGAAAAGACTTTCAGGGAATTTGCTAGCGATAAGCTGCCACTTGTAAAGAACATCAGTGCCTCCTTGTTCCAATGTTTTGTTAACCTTAAATACTGTCACGATCTTTGGAACCTCGACGAGGTTGATTTTCCAAGAGAGGATAACTCCGAAACTCCCACCGCCACCGCCACGAATCGCCCAAAA